GCTGTGTCAGCAAAATTATTTGCTGTATCAGCAAAATTATTTGCCATGTCAGCAAAATATTTCCTATACCAGCAAAAATATTTGCTCAGTCAGCAAAATCGTTTGCTTTGCCACCAAAAGTATTTGCTATGTCAGCGAATTTATTTGCTGTGTCAGCAAAATTATTTGCTGTGTCAGCAAAATTATTTGTTCTGTCAGCAAAATTATTTGCTGTGTCAGTGGTTCGTCTCCGCCTAGGAGAAGGGAGGTGGGGGAGATAAATAGACGGCCCCCAAAAATTGGCTCGTCTCCGCCAGGGGGAGGAAGAGGGGGCGAGGATCTGGTCCCGAAAAAGTGGTTCGTCTCCACCGGGGTGGGGGGATAAATAGACGTAACGTAAGACGTAACGTAAGACGTAACGTAAGACGTAACGTAAGACGTAACGTAAGACGTAACGTAAGACGTAACATAAGACGTAACGTAAGACGTAACGTAAGACGTAACGTAAGATGTATCGTAAGACGTAACGTAAGACGTACGTAGACGTTACGTAGAAATTTCTACGGACAAAATTTTTGCATTTAGAGTGTACATTATTTTCTGACTTATTGCCTGTGGTACGTAATATCATCAGCTGCACCAAACGTTTTCAGATTCGGGATAGTAGTAAAACGTGCTGTTAGCTGACTGTTAGTTCCCAAAACTATGAAGTTTACCTAACAAAACTATTGAGTTAGCTAGGCCATGCAATAATGTTCGCTAAGCCGCTGCCAGGGAAATAATCGTTGCCATAGCTAATGTTTCGCTGCAACAACAAAATTATTTTTTTCCGTGTATTGAATCTAGTTTTGTCCCCTTTTAGCGAACCGCTTTTTGCTTTGTTATGGTTCCGATGACCACTTTGTTTTGCTAAGCTCTGCCACTCTGGGCAAGGCCTACGTATGGCATTGTAACCTACTTAAGGCGATGATGACCGCGCTGGCGAAACGTAAATCCGCTAGGCTGCGCCACTGTCGGCAGCCGAGGCTCCTCGGCGACCCCCACCCGTTTTCATAGCTCGTCTCGTAAGAAATGCACCGAGGGTAGTGGAGGGATAATGGATGGCTAACTGAGCTTTACTTTTCTG